TAGTTTATCACCGGCCTATAATTGTATAATTTCTTTTTCCCACCAGTGTTTTAAATTCTATACCCTTAAGCAAGCGAATTTTGGGAATGATGGGGGCAATGAATGTATAGATGTGCTTTGCACAATTGATCTATGTATTGTGATGAATTGTATGAGCCCCAATAAATTGATTAAAAAATAATAATAATAATTAAATTAAATTAAATAAATAGATAGACGGATAGATAGATAAATAAATAAAATAAAATAAAAATGGTTCATCTGTGTACATGACACAATCTTTAAAAATACTAAGCCCAGAAACACGAACAAAAAGCCCTTTGGTTCAGCACATGGATGTAGACATTCAGCTTGTTCCGATTACCTTCTTGGGTTGGGCCTCACTCATCTGGCTAACTTGGCAGGAGGCATGCAGCTGACTTTCTCTGAATGCCCAAGACAGGAGTGGAGGGTGAGGAGACCACCCTCCTTCCACGGAGTATTCTAGCTGTACCGCTTCAAGACAGACACGACTAGTCAAGTCACAGAGACTAGAAATGGCCAAAAGCCAGTGTCGGGGTTATGTCAGAGGTGCTAAAGTAAAAGCGTAAGTAAAGGAGGCATTTATCATAAACCTGTCAAACTCTTCTATGCATCCACCATCCTAATGTCACAGTCAGCTTTTTGGATGCCCTGAAAAAGGCATACGGAGCTTCTGGTGGAAATTGCATTGAATCCGTGAGTCAGTCCACTGGGCTGCCTTTTCTAAGACACCGCCTTGTGACCAAGACAGACCAGGGAGAAAAGCTGGGAACTCTCCATGCAGCCAGCCAGCCGGGGTCAGCCCTGTGGAACACAGCAGCCGAAGCCCACTGTCAGCATCTAGACCAGTGACAACCATTCTCAGGGTCAGTGTGATGCCCTCCATTAATAATGTGCCCAGTACACACTGGGGGGCTTGACTGCGTTCCTTCCCCGCTCCCAAACCCCTGTGACTTCCCGTTGCCTGCTCTTCACAGATGGAAACGCGCAGTAGCCTTGGAGAGTGACTATGAAGTGTTCAACCCATCACGTGGACAGGCTCTGTAAACAGCAAACACGTGCTCAGAAGCCTTCACATGCATCCACTCGAGTCATTCCCTTTTAGTTCCTGAATGCAGAGCCCAAGAAAGGTTTTCTCCTGAGCCCTTAGGTTGTGTGGGGTAGATAGTTCCGTGATCCTCATCACAGGGTGTCCATACCTGACCCAAACCACCTTTCTCTTGTCTCTAGAGAGGCGCTGGTAACCTGACCTGGCGATCAGACATCCTGGTCGAATATCAAGGAGAAGGACACAATGTCTCAGACCCAACCTGCCCTTCCGTGGGTCCTGGAGTATCGGTGAGTTGGCTCAGGCAGCCTTTTCGTGGCAAACACATACAGCGTTGCTCTAGGTCAGCGGTTCTCAACCTGTGGATCTCAATTCCTTTGAGGGGTCGAACGACCCTTTCACAGGGGTCGTCCGATTCATAACAGTAGCAAAATTACAATGATGAAGTAGCAACGAAAATAATTTTATGGTTGGGGGTCACCACAACATGAAAAACTGTCTGAAGGGGTCACGGCATGAAGAAGGTTGAGAACCACCGCTATAGGTGCTCAAGTCTTGGAACCTTTACCCTGAGCTCTGCTTCTCCGTCTTGGTCACTTGACTTGGATAGTTAGTAGCTGGACTACTGCAGAAAGTGCTGCTGCTGACCTGTCGTCAGAATGTGCCTTTGAAATCTCCCAGTTGTTGATCACGCATGTAGCGACCTGCCCATGTGCTTAGCAATGCCGGGTCCCCATCCCCTCCAGTATCTGCATCTTCCTGTTCAGGGATATCCTCATCAGTGGCAGCTTCCACTGGGGACGTGTCACTGCAAGTGCCACACTTTGGTAGCAAGCAGGCTGCTCACGGAGGCGGAGACAGCCCTGTGGGGAATAAGCTTCGATCTGGAGTCAGTTCTCCTAACACCACAGTGTTACAATTTAGTAAAGACACAGCCCAGACTATATTAGAGGCTCTGGGAGACATGAGGGAATAAGTTAGGGAGAAGTCCGACTGGCTGATAAATCAGAATACTCCTATGAAAGTGCAGGTGATTAATTCCCCGTGATGTTCTCCTCCTCCTGCAACCCTTGAGGAAGACAGTTGCTCAGACTCCTCCGAGGTGACTCCTGTCTGCATAGGGACCCCTTCTCTCGGCAGCCCAGGCCTTATAAAGGCGCTCCTGTCAGATGAGTCAGCTTTCGGCAGGCAGCCATCCTCTAATCAAGTTAGTCCTCTAGCAAAGCCTCAGACCGCTGGTTGGCTCCTCTGTGGGAGTCTTCCTCGTTTCTGTGCAACTGCACGGCTGCCTTCCCCCGTTGGGTTGCCCCTCTAGGCCGCTAGGCATTTGTTACTGCGGGAGAAGTGCATTCGCTGACCTGGTGCGTGTCCCCACAGCAATGCTTCCCAGACTGCGTGTGTGAAGACGCATATAACAACACCTACGCTTGTGTCAGGACCATGTCAACCTCGTGGAACTTACAGTATTGCGAGTTTGATGATCAGGAGGTAAGGCCACCTTCTCCCTGTTGCTTCCCCCACCCCTTTGTGTCTGGCCAGTGCGTCACTCCTTTGGGCTGGTGACGAGAGCAGTTCTCAGGATGCTCCCCAAGAAAGACCTTTTCCTTCGCTCTGCTGCATCCCAGGGGTCCTTCCAGTCAGAGAAGCCATCCTCTAAGGCCCCATCTGCCGCTTTTCTAGCTGGCCTTTCCAGAGAGGACTGTAGCCACTACTACCACCACCCAGACACACGCACTTGAAATACACAGCTCACTCTTTCCCGACAACACGGGCCTGATCCATCAGCTGCCCTGACAGCTGTGAGCCCCATCGGGCCATTCCCTGTCAGCGTCCCAGCGCCAGCTTGTTCAGACACTCTGTGCCCATCCCAGACGGATCTTCTGGTGCTCACGTGGGTCAGCAGTAGGGCTCCCAGCAGAACCCAGAAGCACCATCCTTGGGCGCCGACGGCTTCTTGCCGCACATCTCAGTCTGGCTTGTCAGAAACCGCTTGTGATTCTGTAGCATGTGCTCACCTTGCTCCATTTGGCAGTACCCCCTTCCCCACCTCCCACCCCACTCCCGGAAGAGACTGACCCGTGTCTTGCCAAATTCATTGACTTACTCTGCCATTCTGTTGGCAGCACCAGTGCCCTTCTGACCACAGGTGGTGGGAACACCTTCTCAGCCTGGGTCAAGTCCCTTCCTCCTGAGACGCCTTCGCCAACTTGGCTCCTGTGCCCCTTACCCATGCTGATCAGCTGCATCACTGCTTGATCGGAGCCCTTACACTTGACGACGGCTTACCCAGCCGCTTTACAGATGTGTTCCATCTGGAAATCACTGGTAGATACTTGCGTTCTATATGAAGTCCTGGAGATATATAGAGAGTGTATCACACGAAGGTCTGCTCACCGCCAGGTCAGCAGCTTGAAACCATCGGCTTCTCCTCGGGAGAGAAATGGCGCTTTCCACCGCCATCAAGAGCGGCAGTCTTGGGAATCCACATGGGGCAGTGCTACCCTGCCCTGTACGGTTGCTGTCAGTTGGCACTGACTCAGTGGCCATGAGGTTCGTTTTGGGGTTTATAAGCGGTAAACTGAGGGCAGCTCTTTGAAGCCGGTTTAGGCAAAATTGACCTAGTGTTTTCCTAGTCTCCCATTTGACTCCAAATTGGAGAAGAGCAAACAAGGAGAGGGGAGAAATTCTTACACTAGACTCATCTAACGTGAAAGAGAGAGAGAAGAGACCGTCTCGACTGTCAGTGGGACGGCAGTGATCTGAGCCCACCCAGCGGCCCTGACCAAGCCGCCTCAGAAACCTGCCCCACGGGGTTCTATGAGTCACGGTAGATGTGATCATTGGTAATGCATTTTGTCACATTGGTAGTATACATCTAAAACGGCTTTTTAAAATGAGAAAACCTAGCATATGAATAGCACAACTGTGAAGTTTCGCATGTCCGTCTTTAATAGATTGATCACTCTCTAAAGGCAGAACTCACCTTCCAATGTTGATGCTCACTTCAGCACCGTGGTCACTAAGTTCTTCTTTCTGAGTCTTTGCCATTCGAGGGCCCTGCCTTTTGGCTCTGCTTGGATTATACAGGCTAGTATCTGCCCTCCCCACTGCCTGACTGCCGAAGGCACAGACCGGGTGTGCTAGGGGTGCCTGACCGGCATATGGGCTGTGGGCCCTGAGGTAACTGAACCCTACAACAGATGCTCCATTGTCTGCGGTCGGCACTTCGGCTCTTTGAAGCTCTCGAGAGCAGATGCTGTCTGTCTCCTGGCCCTGCAGGGAGTGTTCGCCAAGCAGGGCCCTCTTTCACGTCTTCCTCCGGGCATTCCTGCCTTGTAGGTGTTCGTGGAGGTCTACAACCTGACTGCAGACCCACACCAAATAACCAACATCGCTAAAACCATCGACCCCGAGCTCTTGGGAAAGATGAACTATCGGCTGATGATGTTACAGTCCTGTTCCGGACCAACCTGTCGCACGCCAGGGGTTTTTGACCCCAGGTAAGTGTCCCTTTCCTTCCATGGCCTCACCAGGCCAGGCTGCCACTGGCCGTCGCGCTCTTCTGGGAGACAGAGGGAGCCTTCCAGATGGGGCTCTTGCTTTGCCTTGAGCTGTATCATCCTGCTGTCTCAGTGCAGTAGCCATCTGTGCTGGGCTTGAAACCGGTAGAAGCTCGCTGTCCACTGCCCTGCCGCTCAGCTCCAGCTGGAGGCCCTGCCTCCCTCCCTCCCAATGGGACTCTCTCCTTCCTTCCCTGGGTCTGCTTGTCTGTGGTGGGACCATTTGGCAGCACAGGTGGCACCTGGGGCTTCTTTAAAGTGACCTTTGGCCCAGTACACCATTGTACCCAAGGACTCCCAAGAGAAAGTGCCTTTATTTTAATTCTGTGGAGAACACAACTGCAGAGATGAATAGGCTTGCCAGTAAATTTAATACTCTGAATATGCACGATGAAAAGCAAGTTATGAGTGCTTCAACGTGAAAACAAACAAACCCACAGTGAACTGTGGAGGTATAAGGATAGACCAATGTCACCCACAACCTCAGGCCTGTTCTCCCACTCCTGACCTCTGAAAAAGCGGCTTTTCATTAGTAACACTGGTTGACAGTACACCACACACGTGAGCTCCCTATGGCAAGAAGCCCTGGTGACACAGCGGCTAATGCACTGGGCGGCTCACCACAGGGCAGTGGTTCAAACCCACCAGCCTCTCTGAAGGAGCACATGGAGGCTGTCTGCTCCTGCAAAGATGGACCGTCTTAGAGGCCCTGTGGGGTTTCTATGAGTTAGAAGCGGCTCCACTGCGATGTGTGGGAGGGCAAGGAGCTTGTCACTTATTTTTGCCTGAAGATTGTATTCATGAAGTTAAAATGAGACTTCCCCTGGGAAAGGATTGCTTCAGTTCTCAGTCCTAATGTGACGGCGATAGGCAGGGAAGAAGTTCACCCATTGGCAAGCTGCCGTGGATTTCACCACCTGTGGGTTCAATGATGCCTGCCTCAGTCTCAAGAAGTCGTGACGGGGAGAGGGAAGCAGAGAAGTTTGGGTGGTAGAACATGTATTTTAGACTGTGATATTTGAACCTTGTGTATAGAGCCCATGGCCATAGAGATCAGGAAATTAAAAGTAGGGATCGCTAGTAGTATTTTCCCTGTTGAAGACTGCCTTGAATTCCCCTGTTTGTAGGCAGTCAGGCCAATGACTGGTCCCAGCCCGGAGCCAAATTCAACGCCAGGCCTGTCCTCTAACACAGTCCGTGTGTCTCTCTGTAAAGAAACTTGGAAACAGCCAGCGGGCGTTCAGCCAGGCTTCCACTCTTCCCCACACCCTCATACAGTTCGCTCTTCCACCGCCCCGCAAAGCAGCCCCAAATCTGCTTCCCTTCCAAGATGGACGTTACCCAGTTTTCTCTTCCATTTTAAATTTTAATTAGCGAATGCTTACGTCTTCCGCTATGAACGCGCCCTTTAGAGTCCCTCCTGGCGATTTCATTGGTCCTCCTAGAGCCTGCCCTGCCATCCTTTCCAAGCAGTGATCTTCTGAATGAAAGGCTCTGAGGCTCACGAGAATTCACGTGGTACTTGTGGCTTCTTTCCCCTCCAGGTACAGATTTGACCCTCGCCTCATGTTCAGCAATCACGGCAGTGTCAGGACTCGAAGGTTCTCTAAACAGACTCTGTAGCGACACACCCAGCCTCTGCAGTTGGATCCCTGCACGCCTCTTTCTGATGAAGTGATTGCAGTAGGTGTCTGTAGCTAGTCTTCAAGACCACGCCTGGAGGAGTTTCTGGCTTTGTGTTCAGTCCTGTTTGAAAGCCCCATCAGCTGACTTCCTCGTGCAATGTGTGCAACTGTGACCTCTAACCCCATGGTGGGTGGGGCTGCCCTGGGCCCCTCCAGTCCGCCAGTCATGAGCTCACCTGAGGTCTTTGCTCTTGCCCTATCTTTTCTGTCACGGGGCCACCATCCTTGATTCTACCCTATGTGTCAAAGTCTGAACTTGTAAACTGACTCAGATCAATGGCAATACTGTAGGGCAAAAAGAAAAAAAATTCCAAAAAAATTATTTTGGCATATACCTTGGTCCCAAAGCCAAGGACTTACAAGAGCATTCCACATTGAGCCCTTCACTAGCAAAAAATACTAACGTGGCTTAAAAACAAACAAAACAACAGAGCTGGCGCAGTAGCATTGCTTTTAGATCAGTAAACTTTAAGGGTACATTTCCTGCCTGCCCATCACCCTGTGGTCAGGTTGCAAATCCTAAACCTGCCAACCAAACCGTGGGGGCGTGGTTTGCATGCTTGTTTTTGATTTCTAACTGCTCCGAAGATGAAACCGAAGCAGCATCACTTGCTGAAGTACGGCCGCCTCCTGCCCACGGGCGAATCTCCCAGAACCCGGGCCACAGCAGGAGGGCCCCTTTCCCTTTCCGGTCTGTCCTTCCCTCGGTGGCGGCAGGGTGGGGAAGGCAGCGTTTCTGATGGCCTTCTAGAGAAGGCACGCCCACGCAGGCAGTTGAAGGGCTGCCCTGGGGTGAGCCAAGTGTCTGCAGCATGGCACCTGGCGCCTTGGGTTTGTGTGAAGTTATTTAGACTCTCAGCAGCTGGTTGCAATTCTCTTGCAATTGTGTTAAGATGTAAAAAATCCTCTTAGTTGATGGGAGATACAAAGTACTGTGGCGCTTGGGAGGCTCCATCTTTAGGTCCCTGAGTTCTTGGAGTCTCTGGTCCCCATTCAGTATCCCTCTGTCAAAATCAGGTCTCCTTGGGTCTCCTCACTGTCGCGGCCACCCCCGCGGGACCAGCCCAATCACGGCTGCTTTCGGCATCAGAAGACCGATTGTGGTGGAGCAGCAAGTGAGGAAAAGGAGCCAGGGCTGCTCAACTTGGGCGATAAGTGGTTTTCGCTTTGGCTTCATTTCAGTTCTTCTGTTGAGCTTTGAGCACTTTTGTTGGTGAGACACGACCACAAGTTAACTGTGCTCCTGGAGTTTCAGCCGGCCACGGGTTACCCTGTACCTCCAGTGAGCGCAGCACCCGGGGGCTCTCCGGAGGTGAAGCAAGCAAGGGAATGTTTTAGGCAAAGAAAGTAGTTCTAGAAAGTATGCGAACAGCCAAACTGCACTGCGGAATATGGGTATCGGCTCTCTCCTGCAACATTCTCCGTGAACGGCAGGATGATTGAAGGGGGACCACAGTGACCCCCAAATAAGAAGCCAGCTCCAACCAGGTCTGGGATTGCGGCACCCCCTCATTCAATCTTTGGTTGTTGGTTCTAGAAGCAGGTGCTGTCCTCCGAGTGGAGCAAGCCAGTGTCCGATGGCATCTCTGCCACTCTGCTCTGCAAGTCAGCGACTTCCGGGTGGGCACTCCCTGTGGACCTCCAAAACAACCTGAGAGACGGACCTCAGATTATAGCCTACCAGACTGCAAGCTGCCCCCAGCGTATAGAATGTGTGTAGGAGTGACCCACGGACCTCAGATTATAGCCTACCAGACTGCAAGCTGCCCCCAGCGTATAGAATGTGTAGGAGTGACCCACTGTGAGAGGCTTTCCGTGCCTGCTTCACCTGTGTTCACGCAAGAGTTCGCTGATTTCCCTCTTTCATCAAGGCCAGGTCCACGTCTGGCTGACTGGCGTCGTGGGCTGTAGAACGAACGGAGGCCTTGGACACGAGTAGGGTTTTGCCTTAGAGTTCTTACTACAAAGCGCTCCCAAAGTCAGTTACCAACTAGGGAGCAACCTTGTGAGCATCTTGGAATTTGACAAATGGTGCTGTCACAAATACTTTTTAATTGACAAACAATAAGGTGGTTTTCTTTTAAATATTTTATACAGATACACATTTAAAATAGAATGATAGCGTTCTTAAAATGTTTAAGTGTCTAAGTGAAAGGATGAGGGAGCAAAGCTGCGCGGGGCCCCTTCCTCGGAGAAAGCCAGGGCTGGTTTGTGCTGACCCGTTCGTTCGTTCGTTCGTTCGTGGGAGGGAAGGAGGCGGCACACGTGGTTCTCTCACCTGCACCACTTTAGCACCACTCGAATGTGCTGAATTCCCCCGTTGAATCACCTGTTCTGAAAGTCCCTCTGCCCTTGCTCTGTGTCATCTCAGTCGTTCGACCTAGAAAGTGCCCTTCAAAGGACCCTGTTCACTGCTGCACTTTTCAATGAATTAAAATGTATTTCTGTGTCTAGTGGAAGTGTGTCCTTTGTTCCGGTGCCCAAATAGTAATGCTGAGAAGATGCTTTCCATTGTTTTCCTGCTGCTCAACATGTCACTGGTGCGACTGGGCTTGTCCCCCTCCCTGAAGGCTGAGCTCTGTCCGGGTGCCACCCCTACACCTGGTCCCTACAGGCCAAGCCCAGAATGGAGCCCGGTGTAGAAAACCTTTCTTGATGAACGATGATTCATTCACAGCTTTGGAAAGCGATTTTTACCTTGGCTGGCTATAAAATAGAGTGAGCTCACCTTCCAAGCTGCTCCGTCTTTGGTGTCAAGACATATGACCTAATGTTCTAATGGAGGAATGGCTTTGTACGTGGGTGCAGCAAACTTCCTGAAAGGACCAAATAGTATATATTTCTGGCTGACAAACCATATGTTCTCTGTCACAACTACTATTGTTGGACAGATGTAACCATAGTTGCTACGTAAACAAGGGGCTGTGGTCTAATAAAAGTTTATACAGAAACACGGGCTGGCTGTTATTTGCCGACTCTTGGCTTGTAGGACGCCTCATACCCATAAAAGTTGCCAGATAATACCATCTAAGAAACAGGAAATGTGGGCATACCACAATGCTAAGCTTACTGGTTTAAGACCTGGGACTTGAGTATTTACCCTCCACAGAAGCAAGTCTATTTCTGTTTCATGGATGGCGACGGAAGACAGACCACACACAGCATGAATGTGTCAGTTGGCCTGGGGTCCCACAGGAGGACCTCGAAAGGCCCCGGCAGATGGATGCCTGCACATGCTGTGGATTTTGTTACAGGGCAAGGACACGGAGCTTGGGGAAACTGCCATTCCTCCTAGAAGACTAACACAGTACCTCATCCCTCCAGGTTGCTCACTGCCAACACCACCTTGAGAAATAGGTACAGAAACCATCAGGGCCTTGATTCTTAGCAGACCCAGCAAGAACAAGCAGGGATGGTCAGGAGCCATTGTGAATTGCCTCCCAATAACTATCAGCTGTTCCACAGCAGGGACTCACCTAGCCGCATGCTCTACCCTTCTCCCTCCATAAGGTCTGAAGAACAGATCAGGCCAAGAAGCAGTTATAGACCTGAATGCTTTAAGGAGAGTTCTTTACCTGGAGATCAAGCCCAAGCAACTGTGGGATAAGTAAGAATGACAGGTACTGGCCAGCCTTTTCGATTTCAAGACATCTAGAAGTGAAGAGGGGAAAGATGCTATGCAGTTAAATGCCCTTGGTACCTGTTACTGTGGGAATGGTTTGACCTTTGTCTAAATCAGGGTTGGGGAACCTTTTTTTCCTGCCAAAGGCCATTTGGATAGAATATCATTCACAAGTCGTACTGATCAAACATTAACTCACCCCTAATATGACTGGAATTGCTTGTTTGTGAGGTGTGAGCTGCTACTGATTTTACAAGCCTGATAGGGCCCATGGGCTGGAGCCTGCCCACCCTGGTCTACATACTAGAGCAACGGGACAGGGGATAGAAGCCCTGTGCTGAGTGACCCCCAAGGAGGAGGGAACTCGTGATGTACCCAGATGAGTCCACTTTTGTCACATCCCACCAATGCTCACCAAGCCTGTCCCAGCCCAGTGGATTCTGTACAGAACCGGGCTTCGTTTCATCCCTCTCTCCCCCACCAGTGGATTATAAAGACTGGTGAGCCAACTAGAGAGCCCCAAGGACACAGGCTGAAAGCATTGCATTGCGGCCTCTGCTGAGGTGCTAGAAGCTGCTCCGGAAGGTTTAGATGGTGAGACATGGGAGGCGGCTTCTAGAATGTGGCAGAGTAGAGGACTGTTCTCATTTTCAGTCTTTGAGATTTTGTGGCTACTTTCTGCCATTGAGATTTGAGGTCCACATATGTCCAACTTGACACTCTGACACTAATAGGTTCCCTAGGGGCGAGCTACAGAGGGTGCTTGTAAATATGGATCTGATGACAACAGCTCCTTGGGAAAGATGGGGTGATATTTCCCTCAGCCCAGTCTACTCAAGCACACAAAGCCAGCTCGTCACAGACAGGATTTGAGTGAGGATCTGGCTTCAAAGCCATCGCTCGTCTCCCTTTGTAACATTTCTATTAGTACTTTCTCCACACGTCATACAATTCAGTCATATCAAGAAGAGTTGTATAATTGTCATATTCAATTCTAGATCATTTTTTCTTCCTTGTAGTCACTTATTCATGTAATTATTCATATTTTTCTAATTGTGGCTAAAATATACACAACAGAACAATCTCCAATTCCACACCTTCTATAATTCCGTGTCAATGATTAAACTCTTCGTGCTATGCAGCCACTATTGATCTTTCCCGAATTCTTCTCCCACCACTGACATCAACTCCACACCCCTGCACAACAGCGCTTTCTCCTTCACATTTGGTTTCTTACAACGCCCCCCCACCCGCCCCCGTGATTTTCTTGATACAGAATTCACATATAAATGTCCATGGTGAAATCGCTTTTAAAATGAGTTGTACAGTCACAGTTCTGGTGCTCCCTCTCCCTCCCATATTCATGGTTTGTTCCCCAACCCCCTCACTCTCCAGATCTCCCACCCCGCCACCCCTACACCCCTGTAAACCCTTGCACCAGTTATTATCTCTATGCTTCTGTGCTTCACAAACTGGGAAACCAAAAAGAAACAGTAAAAAACAAAAATACCAAAGTGGTAAAGATAGAATAATAAAAAGATAAAAATAAAAATCCAAATGAGTAAGAAAGAAAAGACCATCGTAAATATTTAAAAATCCAGGGAAGAAATTTTTGTCATGGTTCTAGCAAGAGATCCTTCCACCTAGAACCATCTCAGGTTGGATCAAGAAGGAGGTCAACTGACCAAGTATCAAGTTAGATCCAGTACAATCACAATGATCTCTATCAGATGGTAAAGTTTTTCGAGACCCTTAGCGGGTCTGCCAGAGGTTTAATCTGACTACTCTGCAGAGAGGTTTGGGGTTCATGTCCTTCATAGCCTGGTACAAATCTTCGATCACACAGGCTGGTATGCTTCTTCCGTATGGATTCCTCGTTTAGATGGCTGCCTGTTTGTGTACAAGCCTATAAGACCCCAGACATTATTCCAATAGACGTCCAGGCACCATCTGTTTTCTTCACCACACTTTGCTATGGCACCCTTATCTTCAGTGATCTCTTCATGAAGCTGAGTATCGAGCAGGGCCATGTTAGCAGAACTGTTTTGGGATTGGGGCTAGAGTTAAGTGGGAGCCCAGAATCCATCTGCAAAGCAATCTTCCTGTTGCCCTCGGCTTGCTTTGTAAGAAACCACCCCCAGCTCATCATGTATCTCAGTACTAACTTTGAAAATATATCAAAAAGCCAGTCTTTTCCTGTCTTTATTCTGTAGATAGTTGAAAGGAGAACTTGACTCTGTTTCCCACACAGAAAAACTGACTCAGACTAAAGAATTCTACACTACAACCCCAGACCTTGAGGCTAATCCGTTCTAGAAGGAGCATCGACAGGTAATGCAGTCGAGTTCCGAATCAATTTTTCCCATAAGAAATAACTGAAAATGTATTAATCCACTCTTGATCACCAAGTTTTTACCCTAACCTTGCCTTTTTGCACAAAACATAACACAGAAATTTCAAAGTAAATGAGTTCAGCGTTCAATATTATAATTTAAATAAGAAACACAACATTTAAAAAATGTTTTTAACTACAGTATGGCACATACCTTGAGATGGACGAGGATCTGGATCTGTGGACACGGATGTGGAGAGGAGGTCTGGAGAGAGAGTCATTGTGTGAAGGAGTTCCCCCTTCCATAAAATCCACTGCTAGCTGCTTTTCAGGAGTTTTCCCCTTTGCCTTTTTTCCCAGGACCTGGCTGGCTTTCTCTAAAAAAAAAAAAAATTTTTGTCTAATGTGGTCTTCTGTTGGCATTTCCTTAACTGTTTTCTAAAAGGGTTTACTAAATTATCATCAACAATATCGATACTAAACAGATAATAATCATAATGATTCTTTTCAAAAGACTCTCTTAGGACCCAAAAAGCCACAAAAACTAAGAAAATTATAGCAAAACACTTGGAACACAGCTGCAAAAGGTTTAAACAACGCATACTAACAACGCCAACTAACACCGGGTGTCCGAAGCACGAACTGCTTTAGTTTACAAAAATCACATGTGTTGGGTCAGATTTTGTTTGAGCTCCGACAGAATTTTCTCGACATTTCGCATTGAATCCGACAATGTCAAGTACTGACGCAGTCGAATACCAGGGTTCTACTGCATCATCACTCAAGTGGCTTTTTACCTGCTTCACATCACAGCTGCTGAAAAAGAAGAAAAATCAGGCTTTTCTCTGCCTATCTCCTCTAACTACACCCAGTATGGCTATCGTAGCCAATCTATAAGAGGGGTCCCAAGAACCCCCCGCCCACAATGTGTCAGAGCCGGTCTTCAAGACCAATAGAATAAGGTGCAAGTCAGGGTGGGTAACTCCTGAGGCTAGTTCATAATAGACATGGCCCCTTCCAACTTGTCTTTTGAATCGTTCACTCTGGGGGAAACTGCTGTCATCGCATGAAGCCCTAAGCAGCCCTCTAGAGGTCCCTACGGGGAAGGACTTCCCAACCAGCCAACAAGTCACAACCTGCCCACCATGTGTCCACCTTGGAAGCAAATCCTCCTTTCCCAATCAAGACTTAAGACAACTGGAGGCCTCGTCCACATCTTAACTGCACCCCAAACTTCTGACCCACAGAGACCTTATAATTCATCACTCTCTGAAGAGACTATGTTTTGGGGTAGTAATTTGATATGCAATGACATCTCACTGCCATCGAGTCAATTCTGACTCAGTGACTCGATAGGACAAGGTGGAACTGCCCCTGTGGGTTTCCAAGACCGTAACTCTTTGTGGGAGTAGAAAGCCTCGTTTTTCTCCTGAGGAGCAGCAGGTGGTTTCAAACTGCTAACCTCAAGGTTAGCGGTCCAATGCCACTATGGTTCCTAT